TAAGAAACATGCACTCAGATTAATTTGTAAGCTGGGATCAAAGTCATTGCAGTTATACTTGAAGATGATGAAAAGTCCTAAGTCCTTTTTCATCATTTGCAATATTTGCAGGGATGCATATTTTAAGGCATCATTAATTGGATCCAGTTTCAGAACTCCAAGCATTTCTTTTCCATACTACACTTAATTTATTTTTTTAAAGATTATTTATTTATTTATCTGTAGAGAGAGGGGGAAGGAAAGAGAAAGAGAGGAAGATAAACATCAAGGTGTGGTTGTCTCTTGTGCGCCCCCCACTGGGGACCTGGCCTGCAACCCAGGCATGTGCCCTGACTGGGAATCCAACTGGTGACCCTTTGGTTCCCAGGCCAGCGCTCAATCCACTGAGCCACACCAGCCAAAGCCAATCTAGAGTACATTCAATTTAGAAGAAAGAAAAAGATATCAAGAAAGAAAGCCTATCAGAGATACAGTCAGAATAGTGATATACACATTAGTTCTTGAGGTCAAGTCTAATCTGAGGTCTGAAAAGTACCTTGTAAACAGAACCTTGGTCAGGCCACATTCAGGACAGTCTCCCCTATCTGCTGCATCCTTATCTCTAGGCTTATTGACTGAGACTCAATATTAAGCAAAGAAATTTCGTTGCGTACCTTAGGCTATACTGGAAAATCAACGTCAACATCAGAAGCATGTTATAGCAGAAAGATCAGTGCTACCTCTTTTGTTACCTAGCTGTGGGACCCCAAATACACAAGTTTTCATCCTCCAGGCATTATCTGTAGGATGAGGTGCTGTACCTCATCAGGTCACTTATTTTAGGTCACTGAGATCTCTAAAATTTAATTTTAGAAATATTTGCCAGTAAGATTGTAAACAACAGGAGCTTTATAGTTAGTTGATGAAAGAATGCAGGTAAGCAAGCATTTCTAGTTATCAAACATAATTCAAGCCAAATTCTCAACTCTTACCTAATTCTGAGAAACAGGCTGAAGTCTCTAGGAACCACTATTTGAAAACAACTGCCGTGGAAAATCAATTGTACAGTCTCCTAAACTTATCATTCCAGGCCATCCATTTTCTCATTTTCAATTCCCCATCCTTCGAAGGCCAGTTTGAAGGTCATGTCCTACACTTGAAAGTCCAGCCTGATTTTCTTCTTCAGAAGAAATTCCCTCTTTCTCTATCTTCTCACAGTACTTTCTTCCTGTCATTGATTTTATCACAGTTCATCTCAGAGTATAATAATTGATATATTGATTGATTTTTAAAATTTCTTCTCTTAGATCATAAGCATTTCTGCCCATACTGTCAACACATTGCCTTTCTCATTGCCATTCTGGGGGCTGTCTTTTATTTTGTTAATGTTTTCATTTGCTATGCAAAAACGTTTTAGTTTGATGTTGTTCCATTTGTTTATTTTTTCTCTTGTTTCCCTGGCCTGGGGAGATATAGCTGATAAAAAAATCGCTAAGAGGAATGTCTGCAATTTTGCTGCCTATGTTTTTTCTATGAATTTTATGGTTTGGGATCTAACATTTCAGTCTTTAATCCATTTTGAATTTATTCCTGTGTGTGGTGTAAGAAGGTAGTCAAGTTTCATTTTTCTGTACATATCTCTGCAATTTTCCCAACAGTATACCTTGGAATCAGGCAGTATGGCTCTTTCTTCTTTCTCAAGAATGTTTTTTGGCTATTCAGGGCATCTTGTGGTTCCATAAAAATTTTAGGAGTGTTTGCTCTATTTTTGTGAGAAATGCTACTGGAATCTTTATAGGAATTGCAATTGAATGTGTAGATCACATGCTACCATTGGGTAGTATGGACATTTTAGAAATATTAAGTCTGCCAACCCATGAACATGACATATTATTCCATTTATCTGTGACTTCTTTAATTCCCTTCACCAATATTTTATCATTTTCAGTGAATAATACTTTGTCTTCTTTCATTAAGTTTATGCCCAAGGATTTACTTATTTTTTTGCTCTTGTAAATGGAATCATATTTTTAATTCCCTTTTTGGGTCATTCATTGTGAGTATATAGAAACACTACCGAATTTGTACAGTGATTTTGTACACTGCAATTTTACTGAATTTATTTATTAATTCTAACAGTTTTCGTTGTTTGACTTTTCTACATACGTGATCATGTCATTTGCCAATAGAGATAATTTTACTTCTCTTCCTTTCTGATTTTGATCCTTTTAATTCTTTCTCTTGCATAATTGCTCTGGCTAGGACCTCCAGTAGCGTGTTGAGCAGATGCATTGAGAGTGGCCATCCTGGCCTTGTACTGAACATAAATAGAAAGCTTTGTTTTCTCCCCATGGAGTATGATGTTGGCTGTGTGCTTTTCATATACGACTTTTGTGTTGTGAGTTAAGTTTCTTCTCTACCTGTTTTGTTCAGAGATTTAATCATAAATGGATGCTGATTTTTTCACTGCATTTTTCCATTACAGTTTTCATTCAATATTATTTTGTGTTAGTTTCAGGTGTACAGCATAGTGATTAGATAATCATATATCTTACATTTAGTACTATTTCAAGTACCCACCTGGCACCATACATCATTATTACGATATTATCGACTACATTCTCTATGCTGTATTTCACATTGCCAAGACTATTTTTGAACTATAAATTTGTACTTCTTAATCCCTTCAGCTTTTTCACCCAGTCAGCAAACTCCCTCCACTTGACCCATCAATAGATAAATAGATAAAAATTTGTGGTACGTATATACAATGGAATATTACTCAGCCATAAAAATATTTAATATTTTTCAACTCCGCTTGATTTATTTCTGCTATAATTTTATTATTTCTCTTATCCTGGTAACCATAAGATTTGTTTGTTCTTCCTTTTCTATTTCTTTGAAGTACAAAATTAACTTGTCTATTTGAGGTTTTTCTTCTGTTTTAATGCAGGCACTTATCATTATATACATTTTACTGTTTTATTTGTTTATTTATTTATTTTTGAGGGAGAGAAACATTGATGTGCGAGAAATGCATTGATCGGCTACCTCTTCCATGCCCCCTACTGGGGACCTGGCTCATAACCCAGGCATGTGCCCTGACTGGGAATCAAACCGGCAAACCTTTGGTTTGCAGCCCGTGCTCAATCCACTGAGCTACACCAGCCAGGGCTCCATTATAAACACTTTGGACTTAACCAGACCTGGGACTGAAACTTAGCTCTGCCCCTTCCTGGCTTTCTGACTATGAGCAAAGCTGAACTACTCTGACCTCTGTTTCCTGATCTGCAAAATGGGAGTACTGAAAATGTCTTTTTTTGCTGGGAATATGAGAATTGATGGACTGAATTAACATGGGAGATAAAGGATGAGTACGTTCTCAGGATCTAATGTGCAGTATTGTGATTGTAGTTAACAATACTTTATTATACACTTAAAAGTTGCTAAGAGCCTAGTTCTTAAATGGTCTCATCATAAAAAAATAAATAACTATGTGACATGGAGAAGACGTTAGCTAACACTATAGTAATAGTAAGATTATAATATATAACTACCAAATCAATATACTGTACACCTTAAACTTATTCAATGTTGTATGCCAATAATATTTAATAAAAAATGTTTGAAAGTAAAGGAAAATACGTGAGAGATACTTAGTACATAGTAACTGATAGTTTCTTACTAGTGTTATTATTTTGCTTAGTGTTAATTTTAATCTTTCTATGTGCTGCTTCCAGGTACCACTCCAGAAAAATATGCATTTTCCCATTATTCCCCAGTGTGGGCACTGATGGAAGACTAATTCTCATTATAACTCACTATCAACTTTTCAATTTAGATGAGGACAATGAAAAGAGCTATACTGTATTAAATTCTGAGTAGTTTATCATACTAATTTAATTCAATAATTTTCGTCTTTAATTCCCTTTTGCTTTTCCCTCCAAAATAAGGTCTCACAATGCTTGAACTTTTAGGAGCCTGAAAGAAGAGATTTAAGGCTGCTACCGTCTGCCTGTCTTATATTGAATTTACCTACAGAGTTACATTGGAAACCTAAGGCCCCTAAGACCATCTCTGGTTGCCCCTTATTGTTCTCCACTAAAATCAAACTGTATTCATTCACTCACTTAGCAATTCACGCATGTTGAGAGTTATAATCCCGCCTAATTCCAAAAGAGATGTGAAGGGTGGTCTTATGATGAAAGCCAAGGAAGAATGACCACAGTATGAAAGAAAAAACTAGTAAGAAGGAATGGGACATTCCAATCTACAGGCATCTTTCTCTATCTCACTCTCTTCCAACTCTTTTCCTTTAATTACTCTTTGTCTTCCTTTTTGCTTTAGCCTTGCCGACAATACCTCAACTCTGCCAGCACCTTCACATAGCTAAGGAAAATATACTCCAGCTAAGAGACTGCAGGCCAGCCAAGGTGGATTCTCAAAGCCATCATTCAGTGGTAAAGTATTTAGAGAAAGATGAAGTAAGAAGCTTGGTATGGCCCTGGCTGGTGTGGCTCAGTGGATAGAGCACCAGCCTGTGAACCAAAGGGTCACTGGTTCAATTCCCAGTCAGGGCACATGCCTGAGTTGCAGGCCAGGTCCCCTGTAGGGGGCGCACAAGAGGCAACCACTCATGGATGTTTCTCTCCCTCTTTTTATCCCTCCTTTACCCTCTGCCTAAAATAAATAAATATAATCTTTAAAAAAATTTTAAAAACCTTGTATGAAACTAAAGAAGGCAGTCTTCAGCAGGCAGAAGATGCAGTAGCATTATAACAATTAGTATTCGATCTCTCTACAACAAAACAATGGAGATAATTCACTGTATCCTCAAATAAGATTTTGACCTGTAATGTTCTTCTAATTTCAATGTACGAGTTAGAAGTAGGGTTCAGCATCCTTCCTCAGTAACTGCTTACAGTCAAAGTATACATACTGTTCCTTCCCCCCAACCCTCTTCTCTACTGTCTCAGGGTACATCAGTGAGTCACCTGCCTGGAATTCCTGAAGACACTCACCTGTATTACAATGAAGATCATCAGGCTCTGACTCTGTGCCATTTTGGCTTCCATTTCCCTGAAGAGTGTTCATAGCCATAAGCTTCATCTTCTGCAGCTTCATTGCCTCAGCCATTGCTGCAGCTGTTACACCTAAAACCAGAATTATCCCTTTTAAAATGTGGACGATTTAATGTAACTGAAACCTGGGTATGTTTCTCTACCAGGCCTATGCTACACAGCATAAGCCAAAAGGAAGCCCGATTCTAATTTATAAATAATATTCTTGAACAATGTAATTTCCAACTCCTGTTATTATTTCATTGTACAGTGGACTATTTAACAAAATCTAAAAATGCATTGAGTATGGGTTGGATCCCCAATTCAAAATTCAGAGAAAACTGAGTAATATGAAAATTGTTGGAGAAATTCTAAAACTCTTGCTAATGTGTTCCAGTGTCTATTAAAGAGTTCTGGACAGTTGTTTTAGACAGAAATCATTTTATATTAAAATCCAGCTCAAACAATATCGCCAGAGGAAGCACTCTGACACAGTACAAGGAACCACTTTCTATTGAATGTAGTTGTTGCTGCTTGTGTTGAAGGGTGAGCTGTCTTGCCTGGGAGAGCCACCTTAGAAGGAAGGGGGAAAAAGGTGGCAAAAAAGACTTCAGGTAGCCTTTCTCCTCATTTACTCTCCTCATGGCTGTACACTGAGGGACTGAATACATGAAAACATAGCATGGCACTTCTGAAAGTTTGCCGGCCCCTGTAGTATAAAATAATTGCAATGTCTTGTATCAATTTAAGCCAATTACTTTTAATTCTATGCAATGGTAAAAGGGGTAGGGATAAAAATCCCAAAGAGAAAACATGAGTGCTTAAGTTTGAAATCCTTTCTCCCAGGAAGTCTGTATTAGGCAGTTCCCTAAAAATATCTAAGGGAACAGGTACTAAATATAGAATCCAGCCCTGGCTGGTGCTACTCAGTGGATTGAGTGCCTGCTTGTGAACCAAGGGGTCACTGGTTCGATCCCCAGTCTAGGGCACTTGCCTGGGTTGTGGGCCAGATCCCCAGTATGGGGTGTGCTAGAGGCAACCACACATTGTTTCTCTTCCTCTCTTAAAAAATATAGATCCATATTTCAACAATGATCTCCAAAAAACTAGTGAATCCAACGTATTATTTGTAGATAGTGTTGAAATACCATGACCCACCCCCACCCCCCCGCAATAATCTGGCAGATTTAAAACAGTATTTGAGAAGGCATGTGTTGTTGCAAAAAGAAAGCATATCTGCCATCATGAGAAGAATTTGATCCTAAGAGGTAGGGTGAATCCTTACCAGCAGTGTAAGGAGAAGCAAGTACAGCCTAGAAAACTAAATTGTGTGCGTTAGGGAGAATCACTAAGGTTCTACGCTGCCACTCTGTACCCTTCACAATGCATAGAAACTCGAAATGGAGAAAACTTTTGACCACATTAGCTCATCCATGAATCACGGCAAAAAGAGGATAGGAATGACAATTGTTTCAGTCTACGAACTGATTTTATACATGTGGACATTTTCTATATGGTCCCAGAGATTTTCTAACCATGTTTAGCTTTACTGAATCCTGATCCTACAAATGGGCAGAAAATACGCTGGCAGCGATTTAAACAAAGGGACCCTGCCTAAGAGTGCCAGGGCTGAATGCCTCGTAACCAAAAATTTATCAAGAAGTTTCCAGAATTTATGTCAGCCCCTCTGACTAGCCATCCAGAACAAGATCCTGAGTGTGACAATTATTGAATTTCCACTTGTTTCATAACCGGTAGTGTAAATGGTGGATTTTAATAAACAAAATGTGGATTCTTACTTTATGAAAAATAAGTCAACAAAATATCTTATAGACAAGAAATTCCAGGTCAAATGTGTATCTCATACAATGACACTAAAGGAGTGAATGAAAAAGAGTTCCCTCAATTTTTTTGAATTTGAAGAAAAGATGGTAAGTTCGAATATCTATGCATTCTTTCAAACAATTGCTAGCTATGTGTTACCATTTAAGAAAAGCCAGGGAGCAAATTCAGAAAGTAATTTTAGGGTGGTAAAGAATCATAGTGTAATAACCTTACAAAAGTACTTAAGCATCATCTAGCTTAGTCTCTTCAGTTTTGCACTTTCTGAGAGTTCAGCATTTACTTCTGTAACCTCAGCACCTTCTATTTATATTCACCTAATTTCATGATTAACTCAATATTTAGTCACTATACCTATTGACCAAGTCTTTGTGTACATCCCTAATGTAATCTAAACTCACTGCCTATCTTACAACTCAACATAACCATATGAAAATACGGAACATACTATAATTTTGTGTGTGCGCATGTGAACATGTATGTCCATGATTTACTCTTATTCTTATTAATAAGTATGCAAGCTTCGATGTCAGAGTTAGAGTGGTGACGATAGTGAGAAAAGTTCTTCAGAATTACAAGAAATGTGCTCTATTTCTAAACCACCACCTCCGTTTTATACAAGAAACACTGAGCTCCAGGGAGGAAAAGTAACACAACCAGTGAATGGGAGGGCTAGGGTGAAAACTCATGTCTCCTCACTTTCACCCTGAGTGCTTTGTTCACCAATTCCCGCCTTCTTTTTTTTTAAAGAGAAGGGGAGAAACATTGGTTGGTTGCCTCTCACATGACCCAAACTGGGGACCCGGCCCACAACCCAGGCATGTGCCCTGACTGGGAATTGAACCAGTGACCTTCCGGTTCTTAGAACAATGCCCAATCCACTGAGCTGCACCAATCAAGGCCAATTGCCACCTTCTTAATCTTAATTTTAATTTCTTTGAAAGTCTCTTAAAATGAGTTTGCAAGGATGCATTATAGGTCACTGACTAGAATGAGGAAGACATTATGTCATATCAATTCCCAGGTGTTCCATTTATTCATATGCAAAATGAAGCAGTTGGATTAAGGATCTTTATAATTTTTAGGAAGCAATAATTGTGACTAGATTTACTTTGTACTATCTAGTTTTCTGAAACAGCTGTAGTTTTGCATTATCCATGCATGTGCTAGAGAAAAAATTTTCTTGACCCCTTTCTCACTAGTAAACAAGTATCAGGCTTACAAACTTTATGCGATCTATAGTCCTCAGATTTGAAGTTCAGGGGGCAGGTGGTCCATGGTTTGTTGTGAATTTGGGTTAGCAACAGTGATCTGAGTCAAAATTAAGGCAATTTTATAGTTTCTTCATAAGTTATACTATGGCCATCCTTTTAGAGTAGTTTAAAAGCTTTGCTGTCAAAACTGTAAACAAGTAAATTAACTAAAACAGACCCATGAGTAATCAAATCTTCAGGTTTACAATTAGTTAAACAAAATGATGAGTCAGGTCACTGCCATATGGTTTTATATTTTTAAAAATAACCTTTAAAGAAGATAACAGATTACTGCATTGATAATATCTGTCCAGACATGAAAAGCAGTTCATATATGCCATGGTATTTCAGTCAGCCAGTACTGTGCGTTGGCTTGTTTGTTATTCGCATTCAAAGCTACTTTGGGTCACATATGATGTACTAAGGCATGAATAATGAAACATCTGGTAATATGAAACGTTAATGCGATATACCACATTGAATTTAGTGGAAAGCGTTTTGAAATTCCCTATAAATCAACTGGGAAGATATAAATTTAAAAAGAGCTTGTATTGAGGTTGAGTTTTAAAAGGTGCTTATGCTCTGTACTCCGTTGTTCAGAAAAAAAAAAACACATGGACACCAAAAGATTCAGAATGCAACTATGGGGAAGGCCATAAGGATAGAAGAATGAAGAATGAAAGGGCAGACAAGACACATGCCAGTAGTTCCAGGCCAGCCGAATGAAGAACAAATATTACAGCGATTCTTGGGAATCACCATTCAGGGATAAAAACATTGAAAACTATGAGTAACTCTCATGGTGTTTAGTCATTGTATGAGTGAAGTCTCAGCGGCGACTGGCTGAGAGTTAAAGGCCAATAAAACACAGCTATGGGAAGTTCTCAAAACAGAAGCTAGCTGCTGCATTCACCGAGACATCAGCAAAGCCATTGCATGATCTAGGCACCAGAAGTCTACTATATTGGCATAGATATTTTGCACACTTTGTTGAGTTACGGCTAAACATGAAGAGAGGATGCAATCGATCTTTGCTGAAGTTCAATTTGTCCTAGGAAAGCAACAGATTGGAGGACATAAAACAAGCTGTTGAATTTGCCATTCAGAATGGAACCAGAGGCAGGAAACTGACCATTCCTGAGGGGTGACAGGCCGAGCAGCACAGCCTAGCAGAGAGTGCAACCAAAGACAAGGCCGGCTGCTGCCGCTCTGAGCAAACTGCCGCCCTACAGCCTGAGACACGGAACAAAATTCCAGGTTGCTAAGCAGCAATTTATTTTCCCATAGACTCTTCTGAAAATGCATACCAGGCATTTAAACGTTTGGAAATCTAATAATAATCTCTTCAAATGCTCATATTTCAATTTGTTCTGCAAAAGCAAGAGGTTGGAGGATGTACAACAAGTTGTTGAATTTGCCATTCAGAACGGAGCCAGGAACAGGATGGTGGTGACCGGAGGGAAGGGGGAGGAGCTAGTAATGGGTAAAGGAGGTCAAGTATGCGGTGACAGAAGATGATTTGACATTGATTGATGGGCACACAGTGCAATATACAGATCATGTGTCAGAAATGAACACTTGAAACTTATACAATCTTATTAACCAATGTCACTCCAATACACTTAATGAAAGAAGCATGTTAACCAAAATTTATATTTTGAAATGTGCTTGACTATAAAATGGTGCCAACAAAAATACATACAATAACATATATGCCATCTGAAATATAACTGTATACAAACAAGCACCCACAGAAAAGTGTCACATTCTTAGAAGAAAGCTGAAGAAAAAAAGTACCGACCCATTAAGTGAACATTTGATTTTCAAATCAATAATAAGGGTAATGGATCAAACTTAAGCCCACATTGGATGAGTTGGTTTTGCTCTGCACCAGGTATTGCCAATAAGTAAATATGAGAGAGTACATAAACATTAACAGCATTAATAAAAGATAAAGACATACTGTATGATTCCAACTACATGACATTCTGAAAAAAG